TTCCAGCTATTTCCAAATTGATGGACTTCCACTTTATTCCTGGCTCTTTTGTACCACAGAGCACTCTGTTATTTATATTTTGGTGTATGTGACACACTTGTTTCTGTTCTTTTGTTATACTTCCTTGGAATATATGCTCAGTATTGGAATTTCTAGGTCAAAGGGTGAGTATAGTTTAGTCACTTTTCATAATTATGAATTGATATACAGAATAGTTTGGCCAATTCACAACTCTACCAACTATATGTTAGTGTGCCTATCTATACCCAAAGCCCCTCCAACATTGACTATGACCATATTTTGTGAGCTTTCCTAATTTGCAATATGTGATGTAAAACCTCACATCTGTTTCCATTTGCATTTCTTTTACTATTAATTATTTGGAGCATGTTTTCAAATGGTTATTTATAGTTTGCAATTCTTCTTTTGAAAAGTATGCATATTTTTGACACAGTTTTTTTCACTGATTTTCTGGGGTTGTCTAAATACACAGTCACAATATTCACAAATAGGGATAATTTTGTCTCATCTTTGTCTCTGTTTATACTTTTAATTTTATTTTTGTTGCTCTAGCTAACGTTTCTAAAACTCCGTAAAATAATAGTGGAGAGAAGAGGAATTCTTACTTTGTCCCTGTTTGTAACACTTTTAGTCTTATTCCACCATAATTAATGCTATGTCTTCGTTTTAGTTATATATGTTTTTGTCTTATTAAAGGAGGACTTTTCAAAGCCTATCATGGCCACTTATTGTGAACAAATTGGCTTCAACAGCACTTCGTGATCAAAACTGATTTTTCTATGAAAAGTTTGACTCTCAGGCCCTATAATGCTATAAATGGTATAATCATTTTAAACAAGAGAAAGTTTATAATTTCATACATTTTAATTTCATTTATTCTTATGAATTATATCACCTAACATCACCTGGATTACCTTAAACTTAAAATAAATGAAAGATTTCCCTCCTTTCCCATCCCTAAAGCAAATGTCAAGGCACTGTAGCAAAGACGAAATCATTTTCTCCTTCCCCTGGGCCCCCCTTTTCCCTTTACAAATACTAAGAAATGGTTGACCACCTATACTAGGAATTCCATCTTGCTGAATGCTAATACTGAGACTGAAAATCCTTTTTGCTAAATGGGAGAGTGGAGTCTTGCCTGGGGGGTCTAGGAGAAACATAGTTTCTTTTCAGCATTTCATCCTAAAAAGGAGAATAGCTGGACGATCCACACAAAGATGTGAAATAAAATTGGCTTCAGTGAATCCTCAAATATTTAAGAGTTGTTTGTAATCAAATACAATACTGAATCTCCTATCTCTGCATCAGCCAAACATACTTTTACTAGAATTTTAATTCTTCAGCTCACTTAAGCAAGAAGAAATAAAAAAAGACTGTAGATCAGAATTCCTTTGTAATAGAAAGACCATAGGTTAGGACTCAGAAAACCGGATTCAGATATTGGCTCTGCTCCTTACCACCTGTGTGGCCTTGAATGTGTCATTCCTTACCCTTTTGACTGTAATTTCCTCATCTGAAAAAGGAGAATGCTAGACAAAGTCATCTCCAAATCTTCCCAATCCTATGACCCTGTGATAGTCTATCCCATTTGAACTCTGAACCACCTTAGTATTCATCCCTCATGCCAGTCTGTGGGACCTTCTGGACCACACCTTCTCACCCCATTAATGCTGCTCTGTTTTTCTCAGTTGTGGTGCTCCTCTTTAGTTTCATTTTCCGCCCCCCCCCCATTATTCTAGCCTGCCCTAATCCGAATTACCTTTCCTGAATTCTGGATACTGAATTTAGAGTCAAGTTAACCTAAGTTCTTGACTCAGACTGGGAAATTGGATAAGTCATTTAACAGTTTATCTGTGCCTCATCTGTAAAATTAGAAGGCTGAACTCCATGGCCCTTAAGTTGCCTTCTAAGTGCTAATTTGAGGGGCAGCTAGGTGACACAGTGGATAAAATGCTAGGCCTGGAGTCAGGAAGACTCATCTTCCTGAGTTTAAATCCAGCCTTACACACTTAGTAACTGTGTGACCCTGGGCAAGTCACTTAATCCTGTTTGCTTCAGTTCCTCATCTGTAAAATGAGCTGGAGAAGGAAATGGCAAACCACTCCAGTATCTTTGCTAAGAAAACCCCAAATGGGATCACCGAGAGTCAGACATGATTAAACAAGGGTTAAACAACAACAGTGTTAATTTGATCATCCTATGACTTAATCAGTTCCATTGGTAGTTTACTCTTCCTGATTTCAGTGGTGAATTTTCTTAATAACTAGGACTATATAAAGTTAATTTTCCTGATTTATCTGGTCATTCTTTCATCCTTGCAGCCCTGCAGGCTGCAATTCCTGCTTTGTGTTGGAGAATTGCCCATAGAAGTGTGGAAAGCTTCCCACTTTCTCAGATAGTTCTGTTTCCAGTTAGCTGCCTACTTAAGAAAGGCTAATAGCAAGGTTGAGAAACTGAAAAAGGAAAGGTTAACTGAACAGTCCAGCATGTCCCACCAAATGACAGTAATGAATCATGCCTTACCAGGCATTAGAGTAGCAACCCTAGCGACAAAATGCTTAAGAAGGCAGCTCAAAGGGACTAACCATGATTTCACTACAGGAATGTGGAAGGTTCATCTAACAGAAGCCCTTGTGGCTCTCATCCTTGGACATGGCCCAGTTGATCTGTCAGATCTTGTTTCCTATTGGAATTAAATAGGTTTTGATGGGGAGGAGAAAGAAGGAGAGAATTCCAGGGCACTGGGTGCCTGAAGAGGGAGGGAAAAGAAGGAGGTGATGACAGTGGGGAGGAGGGAGGAGGGAAATATTAGCCTTGAAAGGGTAGGAGGCAACTTACCTCAGCAAGTGGAAATAAAATCAGGCTAATGAGGCTGCTCACAGCAGCCTTTCTATTTTGGGTATGATGTCACTCTCCCTGCCACTGCCAAAGTGATCCATATATTTTCTTTAACTAAAATGAATTTTTTAATTAATTTTGTGTTAAAAGTTTTAGAGATTTTTTATTTTTAAAGGATTTTCCAACATTTCTTGAGAGAACAGAGAGGGAGGTGGGGGAAAAGAGGTTTGAGAGTTGTCAAACATCAAGATGTTGGTGTTTGGTCTACAGGTTAAAATACTAATAGCTTGATGCTCAACAGCTTTCACCACCATATTTGAAAGTATTAGGATTTTTGGCTAACTGTCCATTTACCTTAAATTTATAAGTATTTTACCTTACACTTACCCTAGGTTAGTCAGTTGGTTTATTTATTTTTTGGTCACTTTCAGATTTATTACTGTGTTTTGTTTTTATATTACAAACACAGATTGCTCCCACTTCATTAGAGGACTCTTATAACAAGGGAAAATAGACATAAAACTAATAATGACCTCATCTGAAAGTACATACATTTGATATCTGTATTCGCTCCTCATATATCTTTGATGAAATGAACAGAAATATATTTTCTCTCCCTCCCAATATCAGACTACAGAAAACTCCCCAAATTTCTTGAATCAAATATGCATAATAAAGCAAAATAAATTCCCCCAAAGGCTGCAAATGAAGATATATGTCTTATCCTGTTCCCTAAATCCCTCACCTCTCTGGACTGGATTGGATAATTCACCATCAGACCTCTGGAATCATGAATGGCTATTGTATTGATCATAGTTCCTACAGCTTTCAAAGTTGTTTATTTTGGTGTCATCATTGTATAAATTAGTTGTCTGTTCCTGCTCATTTAAGTTTTATAAGTTTTCAATATTACTTATTTTTATCATATTTATGTTACGAGATAAATTTTTTTCCTGGTTCTCCTCTCTTCATTTTGCATCAATTCATATAACCCTTTCTATGTCTTTTTAAAATAATCTATATCCTCATTTCTTATAGCACAATAATACATCACATTCATATACCACAACTTATTCAGCCATTCCTCAATGAGTTTACAAAAGTAATTTCAGAGCATACTTGGTGAAAAATGTTGCTAAATCATTTAAAATCCTCCAAAGGAAAGAGACTGACAGCTCAAGCAATATGTAGGCACCTTCTTTTTCCTTCTTCTCACTCAAGATATTAAGAGAACAGGATGAAGTAAGTAAATCCTTTATGGAAGAATCACAGGAAAACCTGGACAAAAATTATATCAGATGGGAAGATATGGAGGGGTTGGGAATCTGCATCAGTGGAAGGAGTACCTAGACCAATGAGATCATGGCTCCACCAAAGAATGAAAGACATAGCTGTTTTACTAGTATAGCTAATTTAACCCAACCAGTTGGCCTCAAAGATTCAATTCCTGGGGCTTTGTTAAACCAGAAAGAGAAGGAAATGCAAATTGTAAATTTAATAAACACCTTTCAATTTATTCTCACTGGCCAAAGGTCAGGATTTCCTTGTTTAAACTTCTGGCTCTGTTACCAGTTTCCTAAGAGAATGGATATAGATTTATACCTCAATCCTGCCTCAAGATTAGGCAACCATTTGGCCAAAGAGTGAGAATAAAACTGAAATCATAAAAACAATGTGAATTTTGATGCATTTTTATAAAGTGCTAGGAAACACTTGTGTGAAAGAGACTTTACAAGTAGAGAAACATCTTGGCACTCTTGTGGATCTAACATCGGAAGGTTAGAGAAAAGACCAATATTTTTTTAACCACTAACCAATTGAAATTATTTTCTAATTTAGAGGAAAATTGGTATTTTCTCCTGCTATAACTCATAGCTCTTCTAGAAACAGATTAAAACACAGGGACTTTTGAACAAAGGTAAGGAGAAAGTGCCAGAAATATTTCAAGCAGCATAATATTGTGAGACTTTTAATGCAGTATTATAGAATAAAACAGATCCCTCACATGGAAGCTTAAGAAAGAGGTCCTTGAAGAGGTCTGGCACATCTTACTTGGCTTAGGTCTTTGGTTAGATACTCCTCATACTCTCTCTTAAAAAAAAAAGAGGGGCTATTAAGAAATAAATATTCCACTCCTCTTTTCTTCCCAAATACATCTACTCAGAGTTCACAGAAGAGGGACAAAATTTTCCTTATGAATATTCTTCCCATCCCTATTTCCTTTTTTTGTTTTCCCTTCTTATCCCTTTCTTCTATCCCTCTTTTCCTTCCAATGGAGGAAAAAATCCAATTTGTTCTCTTTCTTTATTAGAAGAAAAAAGTCTGGGTTATTCTCATACTTCATGGGAAAGAAAAACAAATTTAATTTGAGAATTGATTCCAACTTTGTGGGCATAATGTTTCATCAGTTTTTCACTGGGAGGCGCCGCAACTACTAGACAAATTCCCAAATATAAATGTTAGCACAGTCTTATGAGATCTTTGGGGTATTGATTATCTACATTCTACATCTGATGAACACTAGATGTTCTTGCAATGTTTGGTTTGGATTCAAATTGTAAGAAATAGTGGCTGTTTTTTCATTCCTAATTCTGCAATGGCAGAAGAGATACTTAAAGTAGTTAAGAAACAAGAACTTAAAAATAATTAGCTTTAAAAAGTGACTCTAAGAAGGCTTGAAGACAAAACTAGGAAAGGTGGGAAAAGAGCCTTGGGGAATCTGCTATGAGACATGATGTATTGATACATTAAATAAATGTTGTTGAGCTGAATAACTTTATAAGAACTTTTCTTGACATCCCTATTATAGGATTTTCTACCCCACTTTTCCTGCTGCTGCCTTAGTCTTTCTCCTCTCACATTCCTCATGTTTGGGAATCTTTTGTCAGAGCTATCCATGGCATAAAAGACTCATTTTTCTTTTGTGGGGTATCATACTTCTATTGGTATACTCTTCTCTCCTGATTCTCCTCCTACTTGTCTGACCACTCTTTCTCCATCTCCTTTGGTGGATCTTCATCTAGTTCATACCTGTAGCCAGAGGTATCCCCAAAGACTCTGTGCTGGGACATTTTCTCTTCTCCTCAATACTAATTCACTTGATGAGATCAGCAACTCCCCTAGTTTCAACTATTATCTCTACTCAAATGACATTCTGATCTACCTCTTCAGCTCTAAACTCTCTCCTGAACTCTAGTCTTACATGTCTAGCTACCTATTAGATATATTAAACTCAACATGTCCAAAATGGAACTCCTACCTTTTTCCAAAACTCATTTGTTCATTCATTCTTCTCCTGGCTCCATTCCTGACTCTCTAGAATTTCTCTACCATGACATAGAAGCCTCCTTACCCTGGAAGTTTAATCTACCCTTGGACTTCTCATATTGGAAGTACTCTGCCTCAAGACTCTTTCTTTTGATTGGTTGTTTCCTTGTAAAACCTCCATTTGAAGTAAAATGCCCACTCTATCATGTCTTCATCCTCTCTAGGGTCCTGACTCTGCACACTCCCTACCATTCCTCCACATGGGTACTTTATCTCCTTCCTTCTCCTTTCTTTTGTTCTTCCTTTGATATGTTGTCTTCTCCGGTATAATATAAGCTCCTTCAGGGCAGGGACTTTCTATCTGTATTTTTATTCCCAGGACTTTGCAGAGTATCTGGCATACTTGTTGACTTAACTTGACTTAGAATTTACTGCAGACAACCTAGAAAGAAAGAGGAAATAGATGAGGAGTTTGGGAAGCACACCATAAGCCTGGCATGCTATAGCAGTGATCAGGGACTTCAATATTCCAGACATTTCCTGGGGACTTTTTCGCTGGCAAAAGCAGAGGAGTTTATAACTTCCCAACTGAGATAATATTGATTGAGCACTTAGCATAGTACCTGCCACACAGTAGGCACTTAATAAATGCTTATTTCTTTCCTAACTTGCCATAATGATCATTTCATTTTTCAAAAGTTTCCAGAAACAAAGAGAAGATTCTGTTGTGGCTCTGATTCTCACTAACTGGTTGCTGGAATAGAAATGATGAGAAAACTTAGAGGAAGTGACCACTCCATTTGAGGTAAGGGAGAAGAAATTCAGCTATTGTTCAGCATGTCCTTGGCAAACTATGATTGTGGGAAAGTGAATTTCAAAGAGGTCAGAGAAGGAGCTAGGCAGGATTCCATATATTTCAATTCCATAGGAAAAGTCAGCCCAAGAAGGCCAAGAGATACTAAAGATTTGAAGATACTAAGGGAAACAATTCCATTGAAGCAGAAAAATGGGAGTTATCTGAAGAAACCAATATGGATGTACACTGGGAACTTAGCCAACTTTGATATTTAATGGTAGGTAACAGACAATGACTATAAGAGAACTGTAAAAGCATGGTGCCATCCTGTAAAAATTTTGTTAGTCGTGCTTATAATGAGTGGAGACTAGTGAAGGAAGCTAAGGACAACAAAGGGGGTTATTTTAGTTACATTTGGAGAAAAAAAAAGATCAAATAAAAGATGAAACTTGTGCTTGGGGTGGATGAGATGATGATAACTGAAAACAGAGAAAAGGTAGGTTCATATTAAGTTTCTGTTTTCTCTGCTAGGGAGAATGACCCTTACACTGGAAATAGCAGAATGAAAATAGCTGGCAGGGAACTGATAACCAAGAAAAGCCAGGAGATAGGAAGAGAGCAGCTGTTTGTTTTTGATGAAGTCAAATCACCTTACTTCATGGCTGATGTAATTGTCATATCACATTTGAAAGACAGTGGAAAATTGGAGAGTTTCCACAAGATTGGAGAGGGCAAGTGTTGTCACAGTTTACAAAAAAAGGGAAGGGAATGGAATTTTCCAGCTGCAGGCCAGTGAGCTTGACCTTGATCCCTGGGAAAATTCTAGAACAGATCATCAAAGAGATGAGTGGTGAAAATTTAGAAAGGGATAGTATAGTCATTATGAAGAGCCAGTATGGTTTCCTCAAGATGAGGTCACACCACACCGATAATTGTTTCCTTTTTATAAGGGTTACTAAAGTGACTGGTGAAAGAAATGCTGTACATATAGTTCACTTAGATTTTAGCAAAGCATTTGATAAAGAATCTGATAGAATTCTGGTGGAGAAGTTAGACAGATGTGGATTAGATCAGTGGTGTCAAACTCAAATTGAACTGGATCCTTAAGGGCTGCATATTGACTTAGAAACCCACAAATTGACATCATTTATGTCACAGTGTGTTTTTTAATCAATTTTATTAAATACTTCCCAATTACGTTTTAATTTGGTTCATAGCACTTGCCAGGCAGCAAGTTTGATACCTCTAGTCTAGAAAATAATACAATTCAATGGATTTAGAACTGGGTGGATTTGAGGCTCAAATAATGTCAGTATATTGTTCATCCTTCATTTTCAAAAAGAACCAATGACATCATGGGTGATGTCTTGACTTGAGCATGAATTGGATTTAAGTGGGTCAGAGTTGCACAAAGTCATCAACCTCACTCTCTCTTCCTGAGTCATTAAAGTTCAGTGGCAAGACAAAAGTCAGGACTACTGGTGATGCCCTAGGATGCAGTGGATGACCTTGGCATCTTTGATGTCTGACCAAGCTCTAAGTACTCCACAGTAACTGTTTCAGCTGTCTTCATGGATATTGAAACAAATTGTTCTCATCTGTCCATTCCACCCAGGGAAGTCTTCACATGCTTGGGGGTAGACGTCCCCTTACCTCACCAACAGATTTGAGAACTATCAGTTCCAGTATGAAAAGAGGTTTCCAGTTCAGTCCCCTGGAGAGCTCTGCTTCACCTTGCACTGTTTGACACTTTCATCAGTGACTTGAATAAAAAGTAAAAATTTTACCAGTGGAGCTGTATGGCACAAAACATGGAACACCATTACCTGCAAAGAATTAAAGACAAGCATTCCTGCAGAGAGCAATGAAGAGCTATATGGTGGCTGTTATCAGTCTGTAAAACATAATCAATGAGAAACTGAAGAAGAACAGGAGTAAAAGTCATAAGGAATCAAATGACAAGAACACAAGATGAACCAGTCATGAACTGGTTATAGCAAGAGATGACAGGTGGGCCACCCATGTACTCCACTCCCTTGCGATATCAAGAAAAAGTTAGGAAGACTTTCAGCATGTTGGATGGACATACTGTGGTGAATTGGAAAAACATGGACAAGAATTGTACAGGATCGGTAAGCAATGATGGGATGTGATATGCATCATGAAGTATCTGAATGAAAACATAGGCTGCTTGATAGATTTTCAGATTACACAACGCAGCGTGGGGCAGGGGATGTAGTTAATACAGCGGATGATAGAGTCAGGATCCAAAAAGATCTTGAAAGGCAAGAGCACTGGATTTAACCAAATGAGATGAAATTCACCAGGTGTATATGTAAAGTCTTACACTTGCCCTAAAAATATCATCTTCACAAGTATAAATTGAGGAGGCATGGTTAGACATCAATTTAATTGGAAAAAAGTAGGGGTTTTAGTGGACGGCAAGTTCAATATGAATCATCAGTGGGATATGGCACCCATAAAAGTTTGTAGGTTCTTGGTAAGCATCAAGAGGGACAAAGGTTATAGGAAAAAGGGAATTATATTCCCTCTGTACACTGCCCTCCTTGTTCCTAATTTGGTTTGCAAAGTGGGCAAGGTTTTCAGGCATACACTAGGAAACTGTTTCCTTTGGTCCTTCCTTAGGACAAGGTGCAATGGAATGATCCTCCAAAGTGTGCTAACACAAATGGCCCATATTTCAAGTATGGTCATGCCTTGGAGGATTGTGCTCAGATCTGGCCATCACAATTTGAGAAGGCATTGATAGGCTGAGAGCATCCAAGGAAAGACTTCAAGGGTGGTGAAATGCTTTGAGTTTGGGTCATATAAGAATTAATTGAAAGAAACTGGAATGTTTAGTTTAGAGAAGAGGATTCAAGGAAGGCATGATAGTTATATTCAAGTATTTGAAGGGCTTTTAACAATCAATCAAAAAGCATTTATTAATTTCCAACTGTGTGCCAACCACTGAGCTAGGTTCCCAGGATATAAAGTAAAAGCAAAAAAAAAACAAAACCAAAACAACAGTCCCTGCTCTCAAGGAACTTACACTCTAATGGGAGTGATGACATTGACATACAGAAGTACATATGAGAAATGTACAAGGTAGATCACAAAGTAGCCTTAGAGGGAAGGGCACTAATGGCTTCAGGGATCAAGAAAGGCTTCTTGGAGAAGGTGGCACTTGAGCTCAATATTGAAGAAAACCAATGATTCTTAGAGGCAGAGGTGAGAAGGGACAATATTTCAGGCTTGGAGGACAGCTAGTGCAAACACATGGAGATGGCAGGTGGCACATCACATTTGAAAAATAGCAAGTAGACCGGTATGACCTGACCGTATCATTTGGGGAAGGGAGTAATGTGTAAAAAGATTGGAAAGACAGGAAGGGGCCAGGTCGTGAAGAGCTTTAACAGCTAAAGGAAAGAATTGATATTTGAACTTAGAAGTATTAAGAAGCCATTGGAATTTATTAAGTAGGGGTTGACACAGTCAGACTTGAAATTTATGGAAAGCACTTTGGCAGCTTTGTGAAGGGTAGATTAGATGGGGAGAGACTTGAGAATTGGAGACCAATGATAAAGCTATTGCAATGGTCTAGGCAAGAGGTGATGAGGGCCTGAACCAGAGCAGAAGTGGCAGAAAGACAAATTCACCTTTTATAGAAATAAAATCTTTCTTACGATTAGAGCTGTCCAAATGTGGAATGGGCTGCATCAAGAGGTGGTGGCTTTCCCCAAATTGAGGTCTTCAAGGAGAGATTGGATGACTCCTTAGTGGTATCCTATGCTAGAGATTCTTTTCAGGGATACGTTGGATCAGATGACTGCTGGGGCCCCCTCCATTTCTCAAATCCTGTGATTCTATAAACAGGCAAAAAGAAGCAAGGAGGGAAAAACAAAATTTGGGGTTATGTAGTCCAGTAAGTTTTTTGGCTTATTTGACTTACGCATATATGCCTTAAAAAGCATGTTAATGCTGTTACTAATTATTATGACAAATAAATTGGCTCCATTTATTTAGTGATATCCTATATGAAAACCTGTGTCAGAGGTGTAGAACACATCCTGAGCTTGAATAAAAAGTAATTGGGAAATTTTAACAAAATAAATAAAAATACAAGAAGACACAGATAACATCACATTTTGGAAGTCATTATGCAGCTAGCAAGAATCCTTATGTACTGATTAGTGACCTCTCTCCCACTCCCCTTTCTATTTCAGTTTGACACCACTGGCCTTGATTACTCTACCTCTTGTAAGTAAACAACAGTAGGCTTGGGGAATCTCTTGAAGAGGTACTTTCTCATGGAGTGTCTAATAATTCTTTTTTCCTACTCAGGTTGGCAATACCACAAGAACAACCTTTCTCAGGGTATTTTAGAACTTGTAGTCCCAGGGAGAAATGAGAAATGCAGAGCTATGTAAAGCTGGAAAAGAAATCAGAGAAAAAACGCTTCACTAAATTTTGTGGAGTTGGGGATTAAGGAGGGAGAGAGAAAACCTCAGGAAAATGGAGCCCACCATCTTGGGCTTCATTCTCAGCAAATTGATCATCTATCCTGTATACGTGAGACAGTTTTCCCACTTGGAATATGGAAAGAATGGATGCACTGGTTGGTGATTCCATTAAGATTAATAAAAATAAGACAACATAGTACAGATTTGGTGGAGAGATTTGGTGACTTTGGAGTGAGATGGCCCGGGTTCAAATATGGCCTCCGATGATGACTATCTATATAATCTTGGGCAAGTCTCTGGCATTTATGTGGTACTTTACTTCCATTAGGTCACTTGGAACCTCACAACAGTTTTGTGAGGTAGAGAGGTGAGGCATTATCATCTCCATTTTATGGATGAGGTAACAGGCTCAGAGAGACTTGCTCATGGTCACACAAGACAACACTACAGCTATCATGATATAGTAGTATGTATGTCACCATGGATGACTCTTGAACTTGAGGATTGGTATAGTAGAAAGAGCACTAATTTGTAGTGTATGGTGGTTTCTGAGGTATAAGCCTCATGCTGAAAATTTGGCAATCAGCTCTCACTATTATGAAACTCTCATTAACTGTTATGATCTGGCTTTGGTACATCCTTTGTTAAATTCCATCATTCAGTGGCTCGAAAGAACAGAGGCATGTATGATGTAGTAAAAAGAACCCTGGAGACCAATGAGACTGGAGTCTAAAGATCTGATTTTGCCACTATATATTTGTGTGCCTTTAGACAAATCATTTAACTTCTCTGGGCCTTGATTGTTTTTAATTAAAAAAAAAAAAGAGAATTGGGATAAGTTTTTCAGTCAGATAACCACTCTCTCAAAGCTCCATTCAAACAGAGGCCATTCTGCGATACCATACAGTTAATCATATGATTTTATCAGCCTTTTTTGGTCAAGGATCTGCAACCTATAGTGGCAGATGGCTCAAGGTTATCACCACTTATATAACTCTTTTAGGCTGTAGACATACACAGAGTCTTAAGCCCTGAATTAAAGACTCTAGAAATTTCTCAAAAGGTATAAGCTTATGTTTAGAGAATAGTCCCATGAGGAGTCTCATGGTCATTACAAATAATAAAGGCCTGGCTTTAGTGGGAGATGAGACTGTTAGTCAGTTTTGGAAGGGGAAAGACAGAAACATATAGGAACATTTCTTTGTTTACTCTTTTCCATAACTGTGAACTATACAAATTCTACTCTGATCCCTTCTCGAAGTTGCTTCTGGTCTCCTTACTTTAAGACATCAAGCTTTCTGAGACACGGGGAGGTTTGAATTCATCCTTGCAAATACTCTTCATAACAATCGGAGTAGATTACAATCTCTGCATGTCTTCTCATCTGATTCTTGCTCATCTCCTTCTGAAAATCTTCAAATAGAATACCCATGCAATATGCTAGAGATCTTTTGTTTGTTTTTCATATTTCAAAGGCACCAATATACCCACTCTGGTGGTAATCTGTTATCTGTCATTTTTTTCTGCATAATTAGTCACCCTTCTTTCCCCATCATTCATTTTCTGGATAATGCCTTTTCGTGCAAATCACACTTACCTTTGTCTTTATAGCCCCAGTATCTACTGCATTTGCTGCCTTTCCAGCTTGGTATGACCTCCAAGAGTTTACACTCTACTGAAGTATCCTTCAGGACCTCAGAAGCACAATTACACTACGGTGAGGTATCAGAGTAGAACTTGGGAGTGCAAGAAGTAATATTAGCTTATCTGCATTTATGCATTTTTTACCTACTAGACTGTTCAAGCCATGAGAACTGGGACTATGTCTTATCTAATCTCTGTTTCTCAGTACCTAGCATAGAACTTTGTGCACAATAAAAGCTTAATAAATGTTTGTGGAAAATAAATAAATGAATGAATTAGCATAGTGGATACCACATGTCTTATTTTGGGTGAAAGGATGCCAGAAATAGTAATGCAGTAACAGTGAAACTTCTAATTTCACATTTTTTTTCTTTTCATTCAGGCACATTAAACTGATGTTTAGTTGAAGTCAATGCAACAAACACTGATTAGCTGCCTATTCTGTGTAAGGCACTATTCTAGGCACTGATGAAACAAAGACAAAATGAAACAGTCATTCACAGATGAAGTAAATCTAAGATAATTTGAGGAAGGAGAGGGCATTAGCAGTTTGGGGGAGTGGCAGTATCAAGAAAAGGTTCACACTGAAGGGAGTAGATAAACTAAGTCATGAAGGAAGATAAGGATCCTGCGGTAGAGAGGAGGAGGGAGTGAATTTCAACAGTTGGAGCAGGGGGCAACAATTCACATGGATGAAAGCAAAAGTTGGAAGGTCAAATTTGAGATCAGGTGATAAACCAGTTTTTCTGGAACATAGTGTTCTTGAAGAAGATTTGGTTTGGAAAATTTGGTTGAAGCCAGACTGTAGAGTGTTAAACACCAAGCTATGGAATTTTTATTTTATCATAGAGTAAATAAAAAGCCACAGAAGGCTTTTGAACAGGGGAGTAGACTCAGTAAATCTTTGTAAATAACTGAATATGAAGAATGAAATGTAGAGAAAGACCAAGAATAATTGTGAGGTTATGAACTTGAGTGCCCCAAGGAAAATAGGAACAACAATATATTGTCAGTGAAACTGTAAATTGGTCTATTCTGGAAAATAATTCAGAATTATTGGAGAAAAATTGTCCCTTTTTAGCCAGAGGTCCTACTATTAAATATAGACATTCTTAAGGAGGTCAAAGAAAGATTCTGTATATACCAAATATTCACAGAGGCACTTTCTGTGGTAGAAAAGAACTGGAAACAAGGTGGGTATCCTTCAGCTGGGGAATAACTAAACAAATTACACTGTTCAGATGTAATGGATGGTTATTGTGCCACAAGAAATGACAGATATAAAGTTTTCAGAGAAACAAAGGAAGTCTCATATGAACTGAGACAGAGTGAAGTAAGCACAGTTTGTAGAATGACATACACAATGATTACAATAATATAAACAAAAGGAAAACTAAAAGTAAACTGACCACTGAGTAACTGTAATGATGAAGCTTGGCTCGAAAGAAGAGATGTGGAAACACCTCTCTTTCAGTAGAAAGGTGGGAGAATTTAAGTACAGAATATAGCATATGTATCACCAGAAGCAGATATTTTGTTGATTGGTTTTGCACAATTGATTTTCATAGTTACAAGCAAGGGTTTATTGGGAATGCAGACTAAACATAATGGTGATATAAAAAGAAAAGGTAGAGGAGTGAGGATTATGGGTACAAAGTGTTGCATACACAACTACAATCATGTATCGATGGTTACATTTAATTGGTTTTGTTGTTTTATTAAAGGTATGATTTGGGGATAGAGGGGCGTATCTGGAAATGAATCCGATGTGAAAACAAAAAGTATAAATAAAACCTTTTCTAAATAAAAACAATTGGTAATGGGTTGAAGAATACTTGGCAGTTTTTCTGTGTTAAAGGGCTCTAGTTTGTACTTTTGCCCTAGGGCCCACAATTCATAAAGCTGTCTCTGGCAACGCCATCATTTATCAGTGCCAAGCTTGGGCTTGGACCATAAATCTAGGAAGACTAATAATGAAGGCTGGATTTCAAGATGGAAGAAAGCAGATCATAAATCAATTGGACTATTCTTTATCCAGCAGGTAGATGTGTTGGGGACACATAGCTGCTACTGATCTTACATGCAAAGGCACCACCCCTGGTACTAATATCTCTAATGAATGACACACTGCCAACCTTCATTTCTAGACAAGTTTTAGCAAGGCAACCAAGGCAAAAATACTTTGGGCTCTTTTATGTGTTATTGGGGTGGTGGTGGGGGAAGTAGGCAAATGATTTTTTGAAAGGGAGAAGGAATGGTCAAGCAATTTTGCCCTTTTATTTCTTTTCATTTTGGATGGATTGTAAATTAAGGGTATGGGAAAGTAATTTCAAATCTTTCTGACTATCAGTGACACAGTTCATGCCCTCCTTTGTTCGTCACTTGGCAAGTTGGCACTCAGAACTGCAAGTCACTGCATGTTAATCTGCCCTGAAATAAATGCTTTCTTTTTGAAATGAGAATATTTTCTGTTTATTTGAAGTTTGTTGGCTCCAGAATGCTGGCAATGAGCCATCTGCTAGAGTCAGCTGGGCCATTTGTGATGCTCTTTTATAAGCAATTACCCTGGAGCATCTCAGGAAAAGGAGGTATGAATGAGACCCATACTGCTGTTCCAGGAGTGTGAAGGGATCTACTGCTCAGAGGCAAGGACCCTGAGAGAATTTCTCTTCAGCTATTGCACGATCATTCATTCATGGCCTAATACAACATCAGAGCTGGAAGAGAGCTTGTAGGCGTTCTAGTCCAATACCCTCATT